GACACTGTATCCTATACAGACAATGACAACAATTCCATTATTTTCACAGAATCCTATTGCGCCTGGAACACTTGCTCTGCCTTAAGCTAAACAGTTCTCATCCTTAATCTACACTACAGCCCTTGGAGGAAGACATTATAAATAGGTTTATCTAATGCCAAAATAAAGGTTTTCCGAGGGGAACAGTGAGCCTATGTTCCCACAGCCGGGAAGTACAAGAAGTGGTATTGAATCTCAAATCTTCCAGATATCAAGTATCTTCTTTCAATACCTACTTGCATGGGCTGTGAATTAGGCTAGAAGTTTTTGGATGGAGAATAGACTGAAGGGCTAGAAACTGGAGAGCAAGACAACTAGGAGACGATTACTATGTTCCACATTAGTACACTGGGCAACAGAATTTAAGAGAGGAGAAGAAGGGCTGGGAAGGTGATTCAATGGTAGAATGTTTGTCTTGCATGCATGAGGCCCTGGGTTTGATTCCTCAGCACCACATAAGCAGAAAAAGCTGGAAGTGGCTCTGTGGCTCAAGTGGTAGAGCACTGGCCTTGAGCTGAAGAGCTAAGGGACAGCGCCCAGGTCCAGAGTTCAAGCCCCACCACTACCAAAAAAAAAAAGAAAGGAGAAGAAGGAGGCTTAAATCATATCTAGCTTGTACCAGTACTTTGCTATTTTTTCTCCCTTTCTTTCCATAATTAAAGTTCTCCTCATTCTTCAGACTCAATTCAGGGTAAAAAGTGAGTCTTACTCATCTTTGTCACGTGATAATGCTTAGCACGAACACATGTCTGGGTGGATAAATACATAAATATTATCCTACAAAAGTAAGAAAAGTGAGGGAAAGTCTGGTTGGAAGGGTTGGATAAGAACGTGGAAAGGGGTAGCATTGATCAAGACACACTACACATAAATTGCTTTGGTGAATGGCAATGCCTTTGTACAACTACCAAAGATAACAAAAATATTAAAAAAATATAAATGCTCGTAATTTCCCCTCATCACTCGGAGTCCATTTTCTTCAGATGTTTGCTTGCACTTTGTCTCTGTATGGGGTATTTATTACTTCTTCTCCACTCAGCTAAATCTCATTTGCATGTCAGTTTGGACAGCATTTCTTCTAGGCAGCCACTGGTAAGCCTAAAATTTAGCTGCAACCCTCCATTGTTTCCAACAGTTTGTGGAGCTCTCCATTTCTTTCAAGAACTCATGAACTCTGGAAGGTCAGGAATAACTCACTGGTAACATTTCCAATGCCCTACAAAGGTCACCACACACCAATCAATCAATCAATCAATTAACAGTGAAGCAAATAACTGATTTAAATATTTCTTTGTATTTTACCATGAACTAAAAAGAGTTCCTGAAAAGTCCCACAAAGCTTGATTGCGTCTGTGGAATATAGCCTGTTTCATTTTGAGTTTGTAATTGCAAAAAAATGCTATTAATATCCAAGCGAAAGGAACTTTCTGTCTGTCACTTAGACTCTTAAAGCATCCCCTTTGTTGATTATAGAAATTTTTATTGTTGTTGTTGGTTATAGGTCTTGAACTCAGGGCCTGGGTGATGTCCCTGCGCTCTTTCTGCTCAAGGCTACCACTTACCATTTTGAGCCACAGGTCCACTTCCAGTTTTCTGGTAGTTAGTTGGAAGAGTCTTCCAGACTTTCCTACCTGGGCTGGCTTTGAACACCATCCTGAGATCTCAGTCTCCTGGGTAGCTAGGATTTCAGGGATGAGCCAAAGGTGCCCAGCTGATGACAAAATTGTGTGTGTGTGTGTGTGTGTGTGTGTGTGTGTGTGTGTGTGTGTGTGCGTGCGTGCGCGCGTGCGTACGTGTGTGCGCACACACACACACACACACACACACACACACACACACACTACTCCTGGGGCTTGAACTCAGGCCCTACGCACTATCCTTGAGCTTTGGTGCTCAAGGCTAGTTCTCTACCACTTGCTCCACAGCTCCACTTCAGTTTTTAGTGGTTAATTAGAGATAAGAGTCTCACAGAGGTCCCTGCCAGGGTGGCTTTGAACCAAACTGTGATCCTCAGATCTGATTCTTGAATGTCTAGCATAATGGGGATGAGCTACAGGTACCTGGATGACTGTAGAATTTTTAAGAGTTGTAGTAACTAATTTGCTCTGCAATGAGGTAAATAGAATACATTTGTCAATGACATGATGATCTTCTAAAAGATATGAATGTAGTGTAATGATTTCTGCATACCTAATTTTTGCCCTAGGAGAACAACTATCCTGAAACACCTCCATATAAATAACCTTTGGTTATTTAAGTGGAGACAAGCCAATTCATAATGTTTTCTCAAATGAGTCCTCTTGAGACTGAACTATATTGTCTGACTCATATAAGTAATTATACACAATAATGCTAATGGAAACGCTTCACTGAATTGCAAGGGCATTACACACACTATTGCAAATGTTAAGGAGACTTTTCAGGCAGGGTATTATTATCTCCTTGCTATGGATGGAGAGATGAAGACTCAGAGCTTGCTCAAGTGCACTAAAATAGTAACTAAGCAGAGATTTTTAAACCCAGGGCACTCTCCTTTAAAAGCCCGAATCTTTTCTCCTAGACTTCACTGAGGAACTCTCAGGGATAGTGCAGACCTACAGCAGTGCTCGAATGTCAATGGAAAGTAACTTTAGAAGTGAGTAGTACTGAGATAACTATTTTGGACCCTAGAAGAAGGAGAAGCAATCATATGACAGGAATACTTGGCTATAGTTGTGAACATAGAGCTAGGAGAAACCTACAGCCTAAGAAGCTTCCGTCAAATAAAATCATCCATGATAACTATGAGATTGACTTATAATTTTGTATTTACTGAAGCACATTATTTAACTTGAGGCAAATGCATTGTGGGAGAGGAAGCCACATCCTCAGGAATGGATGAAGAACTTAGACCTGTGGGTTCAGTGACATATGTGGCCAGATAGGAAGTAACAGAACCAAGATCTTTTCACCACATTTGAGATGTCGTTTTCTATCCCTTCTATATTATTAGGTATTGAAAGATTACCCCGATGAGGCTGAATTACAAGATTACAGGGATTCCAAGATCATTAGAATCAGAACTTTAATACCAGGAAAGCAAGAAGAATCGTATGAATTTAAGGAAAGGACTGTCAGTGTCTCTGATATCTTGCAAATATTGCATAAGAGGTATCCGACAGCTTACCCACAATGCAGCTCTTGTTGTGGTAGCACAGCAGGAGAAGTTGAATACATTATTAATAAGTGCATTCTCCTACTTGGCACAAGTCCCATGGAAAGAGTAATGGGCCAGTCTGGCAAATGCTCTGTTTTGCATGGGAACATAATACTGAGTCCTGGGAGATACTCATGCATATTGCACAAAGTGTTTTCTTTTTTTAAATGAAATTATTCTTGTAAATTATTCGAAGAGCTATTCGGAGGATCTATAACAAAACTATGAATGGGGTCCTATAATTGTTTGTAGGCACTAACTTAGAAATATCTCTTCTGAATCCTGTGAAACTGGAGTAGGATCTGCATGTTCAGGGGTTTCCTCTGAGACTTTGCCTCCAATGGCCACACATATGGCAGGGGGAGGGGAGTCATGGCAGGTTGCACCTGACCTGTTTGCCATTGTCACCCAGTCCCCGATTCACTTGCTTACTTGACTTGTGCTTTCCTCATAATCCACTCAAAGTAATCAGAAAGAAAATGTCCAGTCTTTCAGATATTTTACTCATAATTTCTCAAATGATGAGTGCATGAAGTTTAAAGTAGCAAATGTGCTCACAACAGTATTATGTGCAATAAGATATAATCTTCAGCTGGGAAGGTGGCTCAGTGGTAGAGCACTTGCCTCGCATGCATGAGGCCCTGGGTTCCATTCCTCAGCACCACATCAGCAGAAAAAAAAGCTGGAAGTGGTGTTGTGGCTCAAGTGGTAGAGCGCTAGCCTTGGGCTGAAGAGCTGAGGGACAGCACTCAGGCCCAGAGTTCAAGCCCCCAAAACAACAACAACAACAACAAAAATGATAGAACCTTAAGAAACAGGGCCTAGTATGACATAACTAATATTTACTGTGCCTAGAATTCCCCAAAGCATGTAAAGTTAGGAGACTACATGTTGATTTTGAAACCCATTTCCAACACAATCTGGATATTTCTTTTTAATCATCACTTTTCAGAAGCACTGGTAGATATGGTTTTGAATACATGAGTGGCTTTTTTAGAAGCAAATCATTATCTTTTGGAAATTCATTTCATTTTGGAGAAACTTATCACTGGAGAGCACAGCTATTTTTAATAGCGACTCCATCAGCCTACTCAAGATCACTTTTTATTTCAACCAGTTCAAACAGGAACTCATTGCTCCACCATTCACACCACCTTCATCCAACCTGTGTTGCCGACTACATCCCTGGTTCTGAATTTGACATCAAGTCTATAGCATTTTTCTTGTACAATAATATCTCTCCTGAAAACTAGAGCAAATTATTAGTAATTAGACAAGTATAAGATTCTAGGCCAGGGTGGAGAAGGGGGGAGGGGGGAGATGGGAAGGGGAAACAAAGGAGGAGGCAACAATGCTTGATGAGAAATGTACTCATTATCTTGCCCATGTAATTGTAACCTCTCTGTATAGTATTTTCACAATAAAAAAAAAGAAAAAGAGAGAGAATAAAAGATTCTTCCATGAGTCTACTTCATAATTTAAATTCACTGTGTAGTGTTCCAAGAAAAAAGGCCAAAGATGATTTTATAAATGACAATGTTTGTCATACAGATATTAGCCAAAGGTGTTAGAACGATATTTGGTGAGTGCCAGTTATTTCTTGTAGGAAGCAAATAATTAGTGTGGAAGATAAGACCAATCCATTTTAGCTTAGGAATCAAATAACTATTTTAGACCCTTGCAAATCAGAATATGTTTGAAAGGAAGAAAAAATCTCTGTATCCTGGAGACGGACTCAAGGATAACAAAGGCGCATGGCTTTTACCTGTCTTTGGTTCTCTGTCTCCAGGCGCAGCCGGGCCTCTACACACCTCCGTGTCTCCAGGAAAGCTTGGCGTTGGGCCCGATCGGACAGATAACTGATGAAGATTCCAGCTGTGTTCATACACATGAATAGAATGGCCTGGGCCACAACCTACAAGAGAATTTCAAACACAACGCGGTCAGTTTAGACAAGAGCTGTTTGTTAAGCAAAGAAAGAAAATGCACAAAAGCAAATAGATAAATAAACAAATATCAGAGGGAAATTTTAATTAGTAATCCAAACACTTCTGCTGCATATTAATGGGACCCTATCCTTCTTTAAGATCTTCAGAGAAAAGCTAGCCCTCATAACCTCTCTGTCCAATTTGAAGTTTCTTTTCCCCAAGTTGGGCCTGAGCCTGGAGTGGAGCCCTGAGGGACTACCAGGTCACAGTAGGGAGATCTGGTTGGCTGGTTCTTTTTTCCTCAATTTGCCACACCTTTTTCCTCCATTAGCTGAACGCTGGAGCCTTCAATAGACTGAGACTTGGGTGGGAGGAAGCAGAAGAGGCCAATAAGAAACAGGAACAGTATTATTCAGTGAGAAACAAAAATGCTGTATTTTGATGTCAGTATGCTTTAGTTCCCTTATGCAGAATCCCTTGTTTCTAACTCAAGAAAAGCTATCATGTTCTCTACTTCTTTTGATCTCCTTTTCTGATATCCTATAACTAGGCACGAAAATCTTCCTTGACCCTTGAATTAAGATTCCTACTTTTCTTTTTGACCCCTTTTGTACCACATTCCTATGAAAAATGCAAGGACTATTCTGGAAGAAAGTCAAAATATGGAGAAAGGGAATTACATTTCTCGATTTACACATGCAGGGCAGTTAAAGCTCAGGAAGTCCAAGTGCCCAAAGAACAAAGTACAGCTGTGTCTGCTAGAAAGTGAGAGAATCTTCCAAAGAGCCAGTGAGAGGAAGCACGGAATTCTCATAGAAGCTTTCTCTGAGCCACACACCCACAGTGTAGATGGTGAGTGGCTGAGTCAGGGATATTAGAACTGAGCTGAGATTTAAATGATTTTCTTGGAGTGCTGGGGATCAAGCCAGGGCCTTGTGTATGCTAGACAAGTACTCTATCATTGAGCTACATCCTCAGTCCTTCAACTGGAGAGAGAGAGAGAGGGAGAAAGAGAGAAAGAGAGAGAGAGAGAGAGAGAGAGAGAGAGAGAGAGAGAGAGAGAGAGAGAGAGAGAGAGAGAGAGATTCATTAATTGCGATTATATCAATCACCTGCTAAAATTAAACAAAACAAAAGGCATCATTTCTTAATCATACAGCATTCACAGTGTCCTGAATATAACATAAAATCATATGCCACAGACATTAGAATGTGATGCATTCTCAAGGGAAAAGAAAACCAAGACACCTATTTTGATGAGTAAGATACTGGGATTAGCAGACAAAAATTAGAGCAGATAGTATAATTGATATGTGATATAAAAGTAAGTAAGCTAGTAATGAATGAAATAAGCATAGAAAGAGAAACAAGAGCAAGCAAGAAAAAGAACAAGATTAAAGATAGGAGCATTATGATATATACGTGGGGTCTCTACATAATGATAAAAGTGTTCATTCACCAAGAAGATATAAAAAATTCTGAAGTTGAACACATTTAACAATACAGCCTCAAATATGCAATGCAATCTATGATATAAATGTATGTAAATCTCTGTAATTCTTTATAAATCCGCCACTATAGAGGTCTGTTTCAATACACTTTTCAAAGTTACTATATCAAATAGATAAAAATAGAATTGAAGATAAGAGGCAATTTGAATATTCCTTCAGGTAAAAAATTTGAAATGGAACAGAGTACCAGCCAGTATGGATAGTACAAACTCTTTCTACATACATATTGAAAATTGTAAGGCAAGATCTCATGATAGAACCTGAAACTAGCTTAAGGAAATCTTGAGAAACTAGTATCACGTAAGCATAGTAGAGGGCCACAATGAAATTGAATTACAAGGCAATGTAGAAAAACATCAAATGTGTAGAAATTCAATTTTCAGTAAATCATAATCTAGAACTGCATTAGAATGGAAAATAAGCATGGTCCCAAACTATTGAAAACAGCACAGGCATGAAATTTTGCAGTCCTCACAGAAAACATTATAATCACAAATACTTCATTGTTTACAAGTCTGAAAAGAAATATGTTAGTAAAACCAAGCCAAACCAAACAAAAACCAGACTAAACCAAAATTATGTGTAAAGAAAAAAATTTAAAAAATAGAAGCAACGAGTAACAAAATAAAAATAAATGATGATAGAGAGGATCAGAAAAGTCAGTAATATATTCTCTGAGAAGACTGGAAAAACAGAAACACTTCTTACAAGTTTAAGAAAGAGAAAAGGTACAAATAAGCAATATTAAGAAGAGAAAATTGGGCAATTAAAGACATTGCAGAATTCAATAGACAGCAATAAAAGTGTGCTATGAACTTTAATGTTAATAAGATCTTAAATAGAATTGTGGTGTTTATGAAAAGCACATCTTTACAGAAGCTGATTCAAAAAGTAAAGAACAAAATTAAACAAATACAATCATAATTAAAAATCTTTCTGCAAACAAAGCAATAAACCCCAATGCTATCACCAAAGTACTCTACAAATTACTGTGAGATAAATAATTTAAATATTTTATCTCTTATAGAGGATAGAAAATATTAAAAACCACTCCCCAATTCTCTTTTTGTTTGAGATAGAGTATCACTGTCTAAGCAGGCTGGTCTTGTATGTACTTCCTGCCTGAGCCTCCATCTCAGGCTAGCATTAGTTTAGTGCCTAAACTAATACACACACACACACACACACACACACACACACACACACACACACACACACACACAGAGTGGAAATTCCACTTTTCCATCAGAAAGCATGACATTGTATCATTCATAAGGAAATTGACACTCTTCCATCAGAAAGCATGACATTGTATCATTCATAAGGAAATAGAGAGACATGGAAAAATTATATTAACTTAAGTAAGTCAGATGCAGAGAGACGTAGGTTGCATGGTTTCTATCATGTGTGGTAACTTGAATGTGCCTATAAATCTACAAGTAAATGCACCTGTGGTAAGCAGGTGGTTACAAATGAATTAACTGAAGTAGAATAGGCTCTATGGAGAACATGAATGATATAATTCTTTTAAAAGACTAAGTCAAGCCCCAACAAAACAAGTACCAGGACACAGGTACTTGGAAGAGGGGAGGGCGGGGCCAAGGGGAGGGGAAGACTAATGAAGGGGGAAGGAGGGAGAAGGCAGACAATAATTCACTGTGTATACCACACAATTGAGAAAAATAAGGGAAGGGGTGGGCCAAAGAGGGGTGAAGCTGTCGAAGGGATGACACAGATCACGATGCATTGTACACATAAACTGCATTGTACACATAAACTGCACTGTACACATAAACTGCACTGTACACATAAACTGCACTGTACACATAAAGTGCACTGTACACATAAACTGCACTGTACACATAAACTGCACTGTACACGTAAACTGCATTGTACACATAAACTGCACTGTATACATAAACTGCACTGTATACATAAACTGCTTTGTCGAATGGCAAAATATTCAGTATGTACCCTAAAAATTAAGAAAATTGAGGAGAGTGGGTTGGGAGGGATGGGAGAAAATGTTCAAAGAGGTGATGTTCTCAAGACACATTGAAATCATAAACTGTTATGCTGAAGGGCAATTCCTTTATACAACTACTTAACAATAATAAAATCTTTACTAAAAGAAGTAGATAACAAGCCGGGCGCTGGTGGCTCACACCTGTAATCCTAGCTACTCAGGAGGCTGAGATCTGAGGATCATGGTTCAAAGCCAGCCCCAGCAGGAAAGTCCATGAAACTCTTATCTCCAATAAACCACTCAGAAAACCGGAAGTGGCGTTATGCTCAAGTAATAGAGCTCTCGCCTTGAGCTGAAGAGCTAGCTGAGAGACAACGCCTAGGCCCAGAGTTCAAGCCCCATGACCGCCCCCTCACCCCCGAAACAAAGAACTAGGTAACAGGTAAATATCACTTATAAACACAGAGGGATGTTCTTCCACATAATAATTGCACATTGAAGCCAATTATGCATAGAAAAGAAAATTCAAATTGAGTATACTGACTTTCCCAAAAGATCCACATTGTGAATTCAAATATAATTTGCCATATTTGGAGCTTAAAAATATGTACTCATACCACAATGTTAAGAAAACATGTTGAAAAGTTGAATAACTCTTCCTTTATTAAAAGTTCATGAGATTAGAAATCAATTTTCCTAACCACTATTCAGGATGTTTACATAAACAAAAGTAAAAAAAGAAAAAAAGCAAGCAAGCAAGCAAGGAAGGAGACAAAGAAGGAAGGAACACCTAAATAAATATGCGACTCAGTTATCAAAGGTTGAAAGCATTTTCATAAGCATCGGGATTTATTTATCATCAAAGATCTTCAATATTCTGAAACCCTGGCACATCATTAAGACAGAAGAATCTACAAACCTCAAAATAGATGGAGTGAAGCAAAGAAAAATATGCTGCCATTATTTACAGTTGAAATAATTATCTATATAAAAAAACTTACAGAAAAACTGTAGAGTGAGCAAGAGCTTAGCAATGATGTTGAGTCAAAACAAAACTTCATTTTCTCCCAGAGCTGAACACCAAACTCAAGGCCTTAGCAATTGCCGGATGAGTGTTTTTCCACTGAGCTAAATCCCTAACCCCCAAAACAGTGAATTCTTATGTCTCATGGACTCCTAGAAGACATAAAATAAACTTTCATGTACATATATATTCTTATCCATATATATCTTCTTATACATATATGTATGTTTTTATGTATTGTGTATATATTGTATATGTGTATTTATTGTACATGAAAGTTAATTACATATACAAAATATATGCTATGTTACCAAATCATAAAATATCTAAAACATTATCCATCAAAATAACATGAACTTCTTAATTAAGAAAGCAATTTAATTTAAAACCATCAAAGAAGACCTAAACAAATGCAACATTCATACCATGTTATGGATAGGCATGAATTACTGTAATAAAATTTCCAAATCTCAGTAGGCATCTTTT